CGCGCGGCACAGCCGTCAACTGAGCCCGCTGCCGGGGTGAGCCGACCTCAGCGCCGCGCTGCGGCCGCCGCCGCCAGTCACAGCCGGGCGGAGGAGGCGCTGCGCCAGCCGACCCCAGCGCCGCGTTGCGGCCGCCGCCGCCAGTCACGGCCGGGCGGAGGAGGCGCTGCGCCAGCCGACGCCAGCGCCGCGTTGCGGCCGCCGCCGCCAGTCACGGCCGAGCGCAGGAGGCGCTGCAGGGGCAGCGACAGGGGGACAGGGTCCGAAGGAGGTGGCGGCGCCGCGTCGGACGGGTGGTTGGGAGACAGGAATCTGTTCATAGGGTCTAGCAGGACGGGGGTCAGCTGGATACTTCGATCATTTCGGGCCTGGAGTCTAGGTTTTCCGCACTGAATTGAGCAGGGGCCGCAGGACAGGGATGGTGTCTCGTTGGCGGCGACTAGAGCAGCCGGAAGTGAGACTGCGTTTTCGGCAAAGAACTAAATGGACTTTCAGTGATTGTTATGTCGACCAGCGTACCTAAACTCTTTTCCATTTTGACTCAGGTCAAAGCATATTAGCTCACTGAGACTGGTTGTTGTCTAAGATGGCTGCAGATTGCGGTCGACTTTCTTTGGACTGAACGAATTCAGTGGGGGTGGTCTGGTTCAGAACTCGGTATGGACTAGTCTGGTTAAGCTCTTTATTACATTACGTTGATTCAAACTAAAAAAAAATGAATTCACCCGATTTGCAGTAGCGCAGTGACAATCACCAAATTTCCAACCCAAAACCGGCTTGTAAGTGATGTAAGAATCCTGTATGCTGTCCAAGGGTGCTGGGGCCCAGAGTATTCCAATATGAAATGTGATTAACGAAGGTAAAGCTCATGCAAATATGCGTGGATGTGGACAGTGTGCAGTGTCCTGCCAGGGAGTGTGCGCAATAGTGCTCGCATAGAATAGTTTATACGGACATCCAAGAAAGAACCACGGGTATGTTAGTTCAAGTAATTCAGTATTGTTTATTTGTATCCGATGACAATCGCATTTTAGCATGAATGTGAATGATGGACAGTCGCTTACAGTCGCAATGTAGTTCAATAAAAGATGAACGCCAACAACCGAGGACAAAACAGCCACCACTTGGTGCCGAACAATAAGGGTGATCAGCGATTTCTTCACTAAGGTAAGCCCATTGCCGTGAAATGTTTTGAAATATGTTGTTTTGCTACGAATGCTCGGCCCCGGTGTTTCACATGGGCAAGCAGTAATAAAAGTATCTTATAGATAAATTTCTGAGGTTTTAGTGGCCCCGTATTCAGATGCCTCTAAGTCATACTCAAGCATCAATCATTTCTTGCCCTTACCCTTGAACGCTATTGACTATGTCGGAACGCGAGAGCCAACGTACCATTGTTACACAAGCTGTTGGAGCATGTTGCAAGGTTTTGATCAGTTACGCGACATCCATTCGTGATCCCGACCAATGCTGAACCCAATGCCAGTGAGAGTGCACGGGGTTGGCGCAAGACTCCTAATGCACCCGCTTCGCGGTATAAATGCGCTTTGAATGCGCTTTGAATGCGCTTTGAATGAGCTTTGAATGTCGCCGCGCTTGCGAGCAAACACACACCTGTGCACCGCACCCGTCCACCTGGCCCGGTTGTCCCCTGCCCTCGGCCGTACTTGCGGGTGCTCTGTCGGAAAGACTGAACCGTTCGGCTGCGGGCTGCCCCTACCTCATGAGACTGCTGCCGTGAAGAGGAACAGACCCGTCATAAGCAAGTGAGGTGTTGTGGCGTGGTGAGCATGGTCTAACCCGCCCCGCACGTGCTATTTGTTGAAAAGGCAAATGCCGTGGCTCCCTCTCCGGTCAAAGGTGTCAATTTGCTGAAATCAGCTTCACCGACGCCATGACATACCCATAAAAAATGCAAAAAAAAAACATACAAAGAGGAACATATAACTGGTTGAGGTTCATAGGTGTATGGTATGAAGGTCTGGTCTCTTTTTTAATGTTTCCAGTTCTCGATGACCCTGGCTATCCGGCTCCACAGTTCTCAGTAATCCCTGAACCAAACAAGTTAATACCTTCAGCGAATGCTCGTCGTTCTTTGTTTTTCGGAAGCTGAAGCGTTGTTGGCGATATTGTGTGGCTGCAACTCTACCAGTCAGCCATTTCGCTCGCCTCCACATTTCAGTGACAATAAAGATTCACTGTCATGGTCGAAAAGAGCTTGAGCTGCGGCAGAGGAGGAGAAGAGCCGCTGATATGCAGCCATTGGTCGTCAATCGATAAATGCACCGACGAGTATAATACTGCTCATATAACCTGTGATGCTTTATGTCTTCAAACGGCGGAGGGGAATTATGTGTATGCGTGCAAACAGGCCAGAGCCCGGGATGTGGCTGTGGGGCAAAATGGGGCCCGCACGGGTGGTGCATCTTACAGCCTGGGCCGGGCGGCACTCGTCAGCGGTGGGGGGGGGGGGGTGGAGGCGCTTGTCAGCGTGGGGGGGGGGGGGGTGAGAGCGTATCACAGCGGACTCGTCTCGTCGGTGTGGGGGAGGGGTGGCGCTTCTCGGCAGGTTTCAAGCTGGGCGCATCGAATGTGTCAAACGTATCAAACACTGATGGAATTCAGTCATCCCCGCACATTAGATACGCCGGTCCTGAGTCGCTGTCCCCCCCCCCCCCCGCCCCCTCGCCCGCCCCGCTGGTCAGTCTGTGTGCAGCTCTGGATAGAACTGTTTTCTGGGCGCGTCTGGACAGTGATTGGACAGTGATGTGTGCTTGGTGTGGGTGTTCGCTGCTGTTGTAACCACCAACCAGACTGCTGAGTGGATGGTGTCCGCGCAACCGATTGGGCAAAACTGGCCCCTCCGGCTGCAAGCTATGGGCTGAACACGAGGCGTTGCGCCGTCATTAAACGTCCACACAGCGGGTGGAAGCCGCTTCTGTCTGGTCTGCGCAATAGCTCCCTCGAGTAATGTCGCGACTATGTGGGTCTGTCTATGCTATGACTATGACTATGCTGATAGAACTGGGCCCAACCAAAAAAAGACATGCATTTACGAGTTCTAGAACGAGGATACGGTTACGATCATATTTCCACCAATGGCTTCGCTACAACACATCGATTAGAACTAAAGGTTTTCGACCTGGAAGCAGTTTTCAACCACATTCATAGAGAACAGTGGGAATGTGGCCATTTTTGCAATGATGGGGCCTTGGATCACTACGCCGCCACAGTGTAGGATAACTGAGCACTGAGCGGCAGTGCCAGAGTGTGGCGAGGCTGTCAGGTAGTCTGCCAAAGTACACATCTTTTTTTAGAAATATCGGAAGGCATAGAGCAAACACCTGGCGAGGAGAAGATGTCTTCAGTGGTGTCAGGACAAGACCACGTAGATTTATGTGTCACTAACATTACAAAAGTGATGGGCGCAATTCCTAAGCATAAGATAGCCGAAGTGAGCACGGTCAGCTTTGGTCATATCTTAAGCACTCACCACTTCTTGCCCCGTGCAGCTATGCTGTCTTCCTAGCAAACCGATGGCGCTGATTTCATAGCTTGGATGCTGCACAATGCATGGCCTTCTGCAAGTATTACCCATACGGTACCAAATCGCAGATCCGCCCCAGTTTTTGAGTGCGAAAACTGTCACATGAGAGTTCAGGATCCGGTCTGCATCACGCCGGTGAAGCCCCGTTTTATGATAGCATTTGCCACCGACATGGTTTTCATAATGCATGTTTGTTGGAATCTTCAGTCTAGGTTTTAAGTTAATATACCTGCGTTTTATAATACAGTTGCCTATAGAAAAACACATGGCACACACAAATGATAATAGTTAACTTAAGAGCGGTTAACTCTAGAGCGGCTCAGCACAGGGCATGCGGTCATTCGTAGCAAATGCTTATATTTGAAAATATTCCATGGTCCAGAGCACAGACCTATGCAGAGGACGTCCCGAACTAACCGTAAACACATGTGCTTAGGGATGTAACCAGAAGTCATAAGCTGGCAAAAAAAAACGTTGCTGTCTGATTCGAAAAACTCCCTTGTAAGCCACAATCTTTACTGCCTTGTCTGCATTCCATCTGCCGACACACACACCCACACACAACACACACACCAACACACACACACACATATATATATACATATATATATATATATATATATATATATATATAATATATATATATATTATATATATATATATATACATATATATGGTGTGTGTGTGTGTGGGTGTGTGTGTGTGTGTGTGTGTGTTGTGTGTGTGTGTGTGTGTGTGTGGTGTGTGTGTGTGTGTTGAGCTGTTATGCCTGAAATAACAAATTTTTGTTCTACGCGGATGTACTGCCTGAAAGCTCAAACATCATTGGGTTTTATGATGTATGAAAATGATCGATGGTTCAAGACAGTGATCATGTGTTAATAGGAGGAAGCCGATATTAACACTGGAAGATATAAGGTGCATGAAAAACAGAAAATGTTTCGAATCTGTGTTATGCAATGTTATATCTGCAAATATCTGCAAACGAGTTACGAATCAATTTCATGCTTGATTTGTTGATATTTAACAGAAAACTTAAGCTCATTTTGTCATCTTTTTCCCCAAAAGCTTAGCCTTCAAAATGGCAGATTTCATCGCGATCTGGAGAAAAAGAATAAGCTTCGTGTACATGCGCGTGAAGCTCTCCGAGTTGCTTAGGGCTGCGTACAGTAAGATGGGTTCCGGATAAAAAGTGCTTACAAAATAGCATCTAAAAAATCTTCAAATTAATGGCCGGAATGCGAGGATGCTTTTGATGTGCCCCTATCTCTAGGGGGCCTGCAATGTTGTGCCCCCGGTGATGAAATCCTGGATCCGCCCCTGGATGCAATTCTGTCAACAATGAGTGTCCTGGAGCCACAAAATCTCTGGACAAAAGCTTCGGATAAACGGCAGAATCAAGCCCAGACACGAAAGTGTGACCCCGTATCGCAAGATCACGATCTCGCAATTC